AGCGAAAGGGCTAAACCGATGCAACCCTAACTTTCAGAAACAGGGTGGAAGCACTCTGAGACGTTCCTAAACTCCTTCAAGCATTCCTCCGTTTAAGATGCCCTTGGTTTTCCCAGTAGCCTCCTGTCATCCCATAGAAGAGACCACCCTGGAGAAACAGAGCAGCAACATATTGTATACAAGATTGATCGTGCAAGAGTCTCCAAAAGGCTTGAGGGGGCAATCCTAGAACAATGGGAAAGAGAGAGCGGTCCATCTCTGGCAGGCAGCGCACTTTGTTTTATAAATAGCACTCTAACTCGATGCCCCTAAGGTAGGAAAAAGTCCCTTTTATTTTTTAAGGCTCCCAGTAGTGCAGTCTACAACTCAAAGATAATTGTGTCAAGATTCAGCCATAAAACACACATCACTGGGGTAAGCATTTACATCACCCACAGCTCATACACAGGCAAGTGTATGTTTTTTTTCAGGTATGTACTATGGAACTGAATTCTAGTATCTTACAAAATATCTGTTCTCCATTTTTTTCTCGTCAACATTCTTTATGTATATATACATACACTGCATAAAACATAAGAAACAATCTTGAACATTATATGTGAAACATGTAATGGTTGATTTATATTCATTACATCAATGAAACAGACTTTTGTCATGGTGGTTGACGTCATGCGGGAGGCATATGTCCCATAGTGGACTACCTGGGTTCAAGTTCTGGCTCCACTTCTGAATCCACCTTCTTGCTAGTGCAAAATTCAGGGAGCTTCAGGTGTGGGCTCAAGTAGGTGGGTTCCAGCCACCCATGTGGGGGACCTATACTGAATTTGAGGCTCTAGGCTTTGGCCTGAGCAACCCTAGCTATTGCCAGCACACAGGGAGTAAGCCAGTGTGATGGGGTCGGTGCAGTGGGTGTGGAGGACATGAAGGTATGAAGAGAATTGTTCCATTGCTGGCAAGGCGGCAAGGAATTTCCCGCTGCATGGCAAGGCCCAGTGGATGTCTCTGCAACCACCTGAAGGCAGTTCCACCTCCCTTTGCATGGACACCGGACAACCCCGCTGAGAATTCTGTAATCTGTTTAAGCATCGTCTGCCTCTGCTGAATTGGTCTTTACTATCAATGTAAACTTGGAAGTTGATGTTGCTGATAAATGTCTTAGCAAAAGGGCCTTATACTATTCATGCTATCTTGGCTGCCTCCCCCACCCCCCATATCATAAGAGCTTATGCATAAGCATAAGAGCTTATGCTTATCTAGACCATATGCTTATCTAGGGTGTTAAGTCCCTAGCTGTAGTGGGAATCTTCTTTCCCCCTTTCCTTGATCTTTAGCCCCCTCCTTCTGTGACGCACTTCCTCCCTTAACTGAGTCAAGACTAAGCTGTAGAATGAGGATTGTAGTAGGAATGTGTTACTGATTGATATGTGCATCTACTGAGAACTTCCTGAGCACAAGATTAGGACAGCTGATATCCTGCCTCACGGTGAAACAACTGGCCTTAAAAATGCCCGCTTGACCAGGTGTGAAGTCTGTGCCAGCCTCTGTGACGGCTTCTGTATAAATAAAGCAGACAGCTTTCTTGCAGTGTCCATTACGATCAAGAAACTGTAGTGGTCCATTTATTTTCTCTACGCCTGTTCCACGCTCCCTTCTCGAGTTCCGAACTCGGCTGCAGCTGGACTCTGGTGCCAGTGGACACAACGTCTTTACTGTCCTCTCTACCTTCCAAATAATTAAATAAAAGAAAATAATTTAGAAAGAGATCAAGATCATTTTAAATACCAACAATATATTTCTGGAAAGGGAAAAAGCAAAAAGAAACACCAGGGATTAAAAACTGCCTGGTTCTTCACCTGTCTAGTGCCCACTGCCTGACACTGGCAGGATGTGTGAGTTCTGAGGGGCACTTACATCAGGCAGGTCCCACAAAGGGCTCTAAGATGATTCCAAAAAGTGTTATTAGTCATGACCGAGACTCACAGCCCGCTGAGATGGGTGCCATGTTGCCCGGGTGGCTGTTTTTGAAGGTCAACCTAGATCTGCCCCCACGCACGTTTTGAAACACACAACATCACTGCTTTTGAATCACAGCTAACACATTCTCTCCAATATCTCAGATTCAAAATGTCCCCGCTTAGCCATCCAGCCAGGGCCACTACCACGCTGCTGACGTTATTTTAAATTCAAAGGTCTCACACCAACTCTGAGAGCAAAACTGGAATGCATTTTCTCAACAACTCAGAAGAGGCTCCTCTAGGGTACAACATGTGCCCAGCATCGTAAGTCGGGAGGGGGAGCCGAACATAAAGTAACCCTGGGGACCCTGAGCAAATGAGCTGGGAGCATCAGAGTGCAGCAGCCTGGCAAGCCTTCCTGGAGAGAGGGCATGAAGGCACATTCCAGGACTCGCAGCAGGCCCGGGCAGTGCTCATCCTCACCTTTCACTTTGTTCTCCCCACATCCCCAACTGACACCAGCTTTCCTCAATCAGCCATGGGACTACCAGATGAAAACCTCAAAGGGAAATTCTAAATAAACCTTAGAACACATACAGTCAAACAGAACGTCTGAGATTTCAAAAGCAAAGAAGGGGCGTTTGAAGCAGAGTGTAAAACAATGTGTGATTTTTTTCTTTTCACTTTGAAAATTGGTAAGGATACAAATCCGAACAAAGTAATGTACCTTCATGTACCCACAATTCAGCTTTAACTGCCAGAAGCACGTGGGCAACACACAATCTCCCCACGCGTCACTGCTTACTTAATGATACCATGTGCAGTGTCAACACTATTATACTTTACTGTTTAGGGAAAAATATCATAAAAAGTCTACACGTTCAATACAAAAGTAACTTTTACCACCCGCCCCCCCAAAGGATATTTTTTCTTTGAAACTACCTGAATTCAGGCATATAAAGGGCAGACTATAGCATACACACTATGTCCATTTTATTACTATATGCTAGTATACATTTCTGAAAGGTATAGACTCTTTAAAAATATTATCACAAATAATGGGAAGTAAAGCTTTAAACATATAATAAATGTGGGTATTTGCCTAAAATGTTTTCTGGAAGAATATATATATATATGTATATATATATATATGTACATATACACACATATACATACATACACACATATATACATATATATACATATATATACATGTATAGTGGTCACCGCTGAGAAAAGAGGCCACTTGGGCAGCGGAGGCTTCACTGCTCATTTAATTGCTCCTAGTTCATTCAAAACCTTCCAACTGCTTCACAGTTTAACTGTGCCGGAATAGGCAGTTCCCGAAAGAGCAGCTGCAAGGCTGCTGTGGTCAGAGGAATTACTGAGGCTGTCCCAGAGAGCATGGGAAAGGAGGCGTGGCTTGGCTGTGAGATGCCCACCTAGGATAGGGGAAGAGGGACGCCGGGTGTGACCCTTAGGATGTTGCCTCCTAAGCTGGCGTGCCTGGGATTCAGTCCTGGCTCTACTTCTGATTTGAGTTTTCTACTGCTGCAGACTCGGAGAGGCAACAGTGACAATGGCTCAAATGGTCCCTGCCACCCGGGTAGGAGACCCAGACTGAATTCCTGTCTCTCAGCTTCAATACCCACCCTCCCAGCCACCCCCACTCCTGCTGCATGTGCAGACACATGCACACACACACACACACACACACACACACACAGAGATACACACACACACACACACACACACATTCTGATGTGGGCATTTGGGGAGTGAAATCGTGGATGCGAAGCCTACATGTAAGATATAAACATGGTTAAAAATATACGCTTAGGCATGATCTAGATTTAAACACCTGCAGATGACAATGTCCACTAGCTAGCGGATATGAATTTTCCAAATGGAGAGCTGTTAACCGAGGGCTATTACTAAACATGATTATCACTCAAATGCTTTGTGGGGCTGGACGTGTAGGAGATGAAACGGACTATCTTAGTCCTCCAGGAGGAAGATGACAACACAGTCACAGTAAGCAGTGTGATTTTAAAGGGCACTTGAGAAACACTTTTGCAAAAAAACAAGTTATCATCTTAAGTCTCTCATTTTTTGTTATCTTTCCTCCTTGTAATTCATCTGCCACATGGGCTGGGAATGTGACCTGGCTCAACTAAGTAATCTTATCTGCCCTATTTGTTCTATCCCTTGCACATTTTCTAATTTTATTTTTTAATATTGCTTACAGAATTGAGAGGGGTGCATGTGGGCCTCAGATTAGGGTGGGGAGGGTTGAGGTATGGAGGAGGGTGGGCAAGATGTTTCTTTTTTCTTTTTCTCCCCTATCTGCCACGGGGTGGGGGAGGGGTCACTCCTTGCTGTCATCCTATCGGGGAATGGGAGACGGTTATCTGATGGTGCCTTGAAGGACCCGAGGTAGGGCAGCATGTTCCGAGGATGTTACAGTCCTAGCTTTCTAAACATATTTTGCCAGAAACACCATTTTTTCATTTTCAACTGTCAGTTAAATGGGCTAATAAATGACTCCCCATAAAAGTCAAGAGCAAATCATCTTTATTAAGCACTCCTACTATTCTGAACTTCCAACTTTCCAAGCCTGAATAAGTTCTACAAACGTCTAAAAACAGCTGGCCCTCCTAACTAGGCTACATCTATGAAATTGTATTTTCTTTTTCAAGCTTATTTGACAAAACCCAACATTCTTAGAACTCAGCACTAATTCCCTCCAGGTAATGGCAGTGCCATATCTACATGACTGTTGTTTCCTGACTTCAAGGTCCTATTTCCTTCATAGCCACGTTCACCAAAACAAATCGTGCCCCAAATGAAACTAAGCTAAGGTATGGTCAAGGAATCTAACACTCAGGGCCCATCTTATCCCAAAAGCCTTCCATTCTTCTCCTGCCTCCAAATGGACCTTTTATGGTCCTTCTAGGAAGTTATTCCATCCACTGCTAAAAACACCAAAAGGAAAGTGCCCCCCCCGAGACTGAACCTTTCCAGTGGACAGGGTGGGGTGGATACCTGTTTCATCTGGGGAGCTGGGCGAGGCACTGTCCTGGGACAAGGTGGTCCAGCTGGACTCCTCGTCGCTCGGTGCTAGGTTCTGGATCCGGTGGAGTGCACAATCGGTTTTGGCTCCTGTTTTAGGGTGATCTTTTTTGGTCTCTGGACTGGAGGACACTGTGGCAACTTGACCGTCTTCAGGGCTGGCCTGGCGCTTATTGGGTTTCTGCAACAGAGCATCACCATTGCCTGCGATGGCAGAGGCTGGGCCTCGGCCTGGCTGGGACTTCTCCTCGTCCCCCGGCCCTTGCTGGTTGCCCAAGTTCTGCTCCAACTCGCGGGCTGAGGTTTCCAGGTCTGCATAGTAATTTAGGAAGCTCTTAGTTCTCCTGGGCTGGGAGGGTAATATCTCACAGCCTGAGGACTCCTGTGGGGGGCGTTCTTTACCCTCTAACTTCTCAGAAGTTATGTTGATGCTGGCCGTGGGGCTGATGTTCTTGTTGGGGTCCTGCTGCCCATGGTCAGCAGCCTTGCGGAGCTGGTTCTCCCCATTCTTCACCAGCTTGATGTTGGCGGAGCCATTTCCCAGCAGGGGCTGGGCGGCTGGATCGGAGAGGCCCATGGCCGCCTGGATGTTAGTCAGTGCATATTTCTTCCTGCATTTGGGGGGTGTGTTGTTCTTGGCTTCGGAGTGCTTTATTTCAGCATTCAACAGTTCATTGTGGGAGGAACGGAGATTAAGGGTGTTGGGTGGTGTGGCGGGGCTGTTCCGACTTGCGACCTCTGTGGTTCCGCTGCTGGCCATAAACACTGCAAAGGTGTCCACGCTGGAGTTCGCTGGGAAAGAAAAAAAAGTTGCTCATTAGACACCTGCCATGATTCACCCATGTGGCACCCAAAGCAAGTTAACATTTTTATACATTTTAACATTGAAGGAACGAATGCTTTCTGGTGTTGGAGAACCAAACCACCAGATTCCGTACTTCCCATGTTAGATAGGAATAACTAACTGTGGAACTCAGAAGTCACTTTACACAAAAGCCAAGAAGCCATAGGATCTAAATTTTACTCAGAATAGCAAAGTATCTCTCTTTTAAATCCCAACAAAAATGTTTTCTTTTCCTGGCAGGTCCTCAAGATCTTCAGGCTTGAAAAGCGTGCTCTTTACAAACATTTTACATCATATTTTTATCCCGTACTTCCTTCAGGCAACAGCCAAACCCTGCTCAACAACGCTCTGAGGCTCCAGTTTTCCTAATTCATCTGAAAGGCCACCTTTTAATCACACTCCTAATGTCCCAGGTAATCTTTCTCAACCACGCTTAGAAATTGTGCCCCAAACGCCTGCAAATCCAAATTTCCATCAGTACTGATTTATTTATGAGTGTTTTTGACCTGGGCTTACATTTGTAATGGAACAGGAATTCTAAAAGAATGGCTTAATTTCCCAATGACAACCATCACACACACACACACACACACACACACACACAATGTAGCACTGAGTCCTTCTCTACAAACAAGGGAGGGCCCCCAGTGTATTACAAGACAGACTCGGCTATCTGCAGCCACCACGTTTCCCTGCAAAACTCCTGGGACACAGCACGACAGTTGCATTTATCTCACAGCTTGCTTGCTCCACTGGTGATTTAGTCCGTATGTCGCTCACTAGGAAGAAAGGCAGGTTGCTCCAGCTACAATTCCCGAGGTCTTAGAGTTCCCCTTCCATAAACCGTGGCCTCTTTCTTATCTAATCCTTTGCCTGCTATCACTTCTGTAATTTATCTGATCCTTTGCCACACACACACACACACTCGAGATCTCCCATCTGCAGTTGATGAACCAGAGCACATTGCCTGATGTTCTTAAAAGGGTTTTCTCTCAAGTCCCTCTTCCTCCCCAAACAGGCAAACAGGCAGCTTCTTGCAAAAAAAGAGCTAGAATTTCCCCACCCTTGGGAGCTGCCAAGTGGCTCTCTATCACCAAAGTCTTAGGTGGGGCAATTTTAGGAAAGAGGTCCTTGTTCTAGGGCCTTCCTGCTCCCACACTGGACATTTCTAATTGAATGAGCTTGTGGCTAGAAGATGACTAAGGGCTGTGCCCCAAAGTGGTTAGTCCTCTGGCCCCAGCCTTCATTATTGATAAGGCTTCCTGCCCACCCAGCATCCTACCTCAGCTCTTAGTTCTCATTATACAGCAGCAGAGAACTTCTTGTGTTTCTTCTTTTAAACAGTGCTCTGGCAAAGTGTTTTAAATAGCTTTTTATCGCTGTTGGGCTATTACTTTGCAGAACACACATGGTTCCATTTATAACCTAACCTCACTCAAAGCAGCATTTGAGGATGAGCAGGCCCCACCTTGAAGCCCCAGGATGCTCTCTAGGGGGCACTCAGCCACGGTGCTATTTTTAGACCTGGGTATTTACAACGACATTATGAGACAGTGAAAATGTACTGGCCTCCTAACAGGCACGGCAGAAACACTGCCAGGAGGCAGCTCACGGCGTTGGGTACCGTAGTACAGCAAGGTCATCAGGGAGACATGTCTATTTACTTTATTTGTAATAGCAAACATTTTCAGAAGCAATGCCATTGGAATTTTTAGGTGATTTTAACACATAGGCAGCTTTTATACCCTGGATGCGCCAGATACATTCTTCTTCTGAGCCTTTTGGATTCCTGTCACCTTCTCAGTGGTCTGTTAACTCCTCTACTTGCCAGAATCCACGGGCAGGGTGTGGCGGGGGAGGGAAGCAAGGCAAATTAAGGAGTCGGAATAGGTTCCCCAAGGCCAGTGCGAACTGGGTGTTCTAGTGCAGCTGTGTGCGTGCTCTGTGTCAAAGCTTGAAGGGTTTGAGCGTGTCTCGGGTATTCAGTAACAGCATCACGTGAGGCCACGTCAAAGCATCAGCCCTCCCTGCCAAGGCAGCCGAAGCAAGGCCACGAAGCACACTGTCTTCAGGCGCTCACACATCAGCCCAGCAGTCCTGTGAACTTTAAGGGTCATGAAGTAGATGGCAGGCAGCAGAAATCCTCAGAGGGCCACGAGGCTGAGCCAGGCTCAGGAGCTGGCGGAGGGACTTGCTACTGACAGGGTGGGCTGGGATCCTGGGGCCTCAAGACCCCAGACCACGGACTTCAATCTCCCTGAACAGTAACAGTGCCTGGCTGACATGAGGGGTTAAAGCAGAAATGCCTGCAGAGAGTTTACCAGAAGAAATAACAATGAACATGAGCTACCAGCCCACGTGACAGAACACAGGGCTGCCTGCAAAGCTCACTGCTTTTCTACATAGCAGGGACAGTAACAGGCTTGCTGCAGACACACACACAGAATGCAGACTAAGAAAGGGACCAAGGCAGTGGGCCCATGAGGGTTTACTGATGTATAAAAAATAACATTCCTTATCTTTAAGAGGAAGGAGGTCTGTGTTTTCAGTTAAATGAAAGAAAAATCTCTAATGTGTCTTTCAACCTTCTAATATTTAGATGATTTCTTTGGTATCCAAAGACCTAAGAAGTAAGAACAAATTCTTCAACACTTTTTACTGTAAAATGGAGATAACAGTAGTATCTATAGCTGACTGGGCTTTGTTGAGAACTAAAAGCGATGGCTGTCAAACATTGAATTCAACGCTGGCATGCTGTTTGAGAGCTGGCGACACAGGAGGGATTTTACCACTCCAGGCTTCCCTGCCTACTTTTGTCTCTGAGGAAGGAAGATACACAATAAAGCCACAGAAATCAACCGGGGGCAGGGCGACAGCTGCAAACGGGCCAGTGGTCTTCTCACCTGGGGTTTGCAGAGGATCTAAAAGCAAAAGATGCTAGATGATCATGCAGGGAGTCTGAGCTGGTCAAGATGGGAGAAGAAAGAGGGAAGATGGAAGGGGCAAGGCCAGGGTTTCTGTGAAAAGCGCTCCAAGACTTTTCAGACTTGACCTTGAGGCAGCAGCATCAAGAATGGATCAGAGGCCATGGGGTACGTGTGAGTGTATGAATGGGATAGTCCATTTGTGTGTAAATACTGGGCATCTGCTCTTCAGTATATTCTCCAACAAAAAGATAACTGTGATGAAAGGCCATTAAAGAAGCAATGCAAACAAAACACTTAAGGCTGTGAGAGAGACACAGTGGAATGGAGGCAGAAACGATGCCTCCCTCACCAGCTGAAGAAGGCAGCCAACCCCATCTCCAGGCTGCTTCCGAATGTGGTTAGAGCAGACCCTGCTATTCACCAAAGCAAGGCCAGACCCTTGTTTCAGACTGGCTGAAAGGTTCATGCGGTCATCTGGTCTACACCATGGGGCAGGGACAGGGTAGGTCTGTGAGAGTTGCACTTTCTTGCTGCTGCAACTTCTTGACTAAGGCATGAAGACAAGGTTCCCAGGAGCCAAGCAGTTCAGGGGCAGGGGATCATGAGAGCTGGGGAGAATGGAGTAGCCAGAAGGCCACTGGGGACTCCCAATCCATCAGCTTCAGGAGGGTGTGGCCACAGGATCTATATTTCACTGTGAACAGAAATGTGAGGAGACAGACAGGGCAGGAAAAGCGGGCAGGGGTGATCCAGGGTTATAGAAAGGCATTTTTAACTCTTAAAAGATGAATGCCTTGACTGTATTTTGTATTTAAAGCTCTGTAAAACAGAGCCAAACCAGAGTACGAACATGGACAAAGATGGAGAGTCCAGGCAATGGGAGGAGAGAGAGGACCCCAGCACAGGAGACCCAAGATAAGGGGCTCTTCTTCACAAGGCATGGAGGGGAGAGAGCAAGGATGGGGACGACAAGTATGTCCCTATCATGACATCAAATTGAGGCAAAGCAAAAGTGAATACCCAGGGAAGACAAAGCCTTCTTTCCGGGGGAAGCAACAGAGAGACAAGGTAGAGTAACAGTAACAGAGGCAGATGTGGCTTGGGCACCAGCTGTAGAATGGTCAATGGATGGCATTACACTCTGGGATTTGAACTGGAATAGGCAGGAAATAAGGAAAGAGGGCATGAGGTGGTGATGAGCTGGGGGAAACGACAAGTCCATGGTCACCTGCCTCAGAAAGGACGAGGAGCAGGTGCGGGGGGCGGGGGGAACAGGAATGATATCCAACCCTGGCCACACTGTTGTTTTGTTTTTGTTTTTAGAGATTTGTTTGTTTTTATTTTGAAAGGCAGAGTTACAGAGAGGGAAGGAAAGAGGGAGACGGCGGGCGGGGGGTGGGCCATGCGGAGATGCTCCATCTACTGGTTCGCTCTCCAAATGGCCACAATGGCCATGGTTGGGCCAAGCTGAGGAGACTGGAGTTTCATCCAGGTGTTCCATGTGGATCCAGGGACCCCAGCCCTTGGCCATCCTCAGGGTGTTTTCCCAGGCCACCAGATGGTAGCTGGACTAGAAGTGGAGCAGAGAGAAACCAAAACCAGTGTCTATATGGGATGCCAGCTCTGTCAAGAGTGGTCCAATGTTATACCACAGTGCTGGTCGCCTGACCACATTTTCAGAAAGTACAGATGCTGGGGGTCCATCCTTAAAAATTCTCATTCAGCTTTTCCAAGACTGAGAGGTGGGTGTTGTGGCACAACAGCTAAGCTGCTGCTTGAGCAACAACTTCCTGTATCATGGTGCCAGGACTCAAATTCTGCTCAACTTCTGAGCCGCCTGCTAGGCAATGTGCGCTTTGGAGCACTGAGGCAGGTATCTCAAGTACTTGGATCCCAGTCATTCATATGGGGTTCCTGGATTGAGTTCTGAGCTCCTGGCTTTGGCCTGGCTCAGCTCTGGCTCCTGAAGACATTCAGGGTGTGAACCTGCATATGGAAAAATTTCTCCCCGTTGTCCCGTT